AGATAATTGTATTATTTCTGTAACTAATTGAAATGGAAATGAACAAATTTCCCAACTCTCATTCTTACGAGTGACTATAACATTTGTATTTACCAGCAGGGCGTGCCAGTTTGCAAATGATGGAAATACCCAGACCAGACTCAAATTATTGGCCAGAAGTGCCAACCCCCTGAGACAGCCACAGGGTAGAAATATGTGGTTCAATGACTGGGTGTGGTGGCCCACACCGGTAATCCCAGCCCTTTGGGAGGGAAATCACTTGAGCCCAGGAGTTTGGGACCAGCCCAGGCAACATAGCAAGACCCTGTCTCTACAATAAATAAATAAATAAATAGGTAAAAATTAAACAGTTTCAAACTATTACCTTGCTGCTTTTTCCATTTAGACTTTGGAGTAAAAGCTCTTACCATATTTTGAGCAGTTCAAAACACCCACACCACTCTGAACAAATGCTTTATTCTGTATTGGGCCTTGAAGTAAGAATTACTTAATTAGGAAAATGTTTCTTTCCACATTTAACTAATCAAAGAATGTTGGATGGCCATGGTCAAATAAACCTAGCGGGATTTACACTGTACTCTTTTAGCAAACACAATGGCTTGTTAGAGATGGCAAGTATCTTTTTTTTCTTTCTCTTTTTTTTTTGTCTGGAGTGCAGTGGTATGTTAGGCTCACTGCAAACTCTGCCTCCTGGTTTTAAGTGATTCTCCTGCCTTAGCCTCCCAGGTAGCTGGGATTACAGGCAGGCACCACCACGCCTGGCTAATTTTTGTATTTTTAGTGGAGACAGGGTCTTACAACGTTGGCCAGGCTGGCCTCGAACTCCTGAGCTCAAGAGATTCTCCTGCCTCAGTCTCCCAAAGTGCTGGGATTACAGGCTGAACCACCATACTTGGCCAAGTATCCTATTTTAAGGAAGATAGTTTGGTGATCCAATTCTGAATTATCTTTCACAAAGGCCAGTGATGTGGGCATCATAAAGCCATTCAGTTGCTTGTACACATTTGTAAGGTAAAAGGAGAATGACCCGCTGGGCATGGTGGCTCACGCCTGTAATCCTAGCACTTTGGGAGGCCGAGGTGGGTGGATCACCTGAGGTCCGGAGTTCAAGACCAGCCTGGCTAACATGGAGAAACCCCATCTTAAAAAAAAAAAATGAGAATGACCCTTCCCTTATTTTCTCTCCTCACACCAGAGAGCAAGGCATGCCATGTTTGAAATGTTGAAAACATTTACTTATAAGATGTCATTACGTCTAAAACTATGTCAGCTTCTCACCTCTCCAGAGTTTATAAATTTATGTGTTTGGTTATAACCTCAGGGCTTTAATTGCCTATGCAGAATTGGTGTAATTTCAGAGAGCAGCTGACAAGCATGGAATTTCTCTTCCAGTTCCTCTTAGTATCAACAGAAGCTGGCATTAGTAATCCATGTCAGTCAAATTGCAGGCTTTTTGCTTTACTCGTCAGTACCACCACTCAGCACATTTATTGGGGAACATTTGAGGTGTTAAAAGTTAACAACCGTATCATTATTCTTATACGTAATGAAAGAGGTCTCTGGACATCAAGGCCAGGCTTTAATAATCCCAAAGGTAGAAGAAGGGCCAACCTACATTATTCTAAAGTACTCTTTCAGTTTAATAATATGCTACTGAAATTAATAAACATGCTACTCCCATCCACCACTGGGGATAGAGCTCTGCAAACCTCACTAATTTCCCGAAAGAGTTCTGAGAAACCAACTGAGGATACCAGTTTTATTTTGAGATCTGTCTCATTTTTTTTCTCATAGAATATAGATATTTCTAACCCTTTTTTTTTTTTTTTTGACACAGAGTCTTGCTCTGTCACCCATGCTGGAGTGCAATGGCGCAATCTTGGCTCACTGCAACCTTCGCCTCCTGGGTTCAAGCCATTCTCTTGCCTCAGCCTCCCAAGTACCTGGGACTACAGGCATGTACCACTACTCCTGGCTAATTTTTGTATTTTTAGTAAAGATGGGGTTACACCATGTTGATCAGGCTAGTCTTGAACTCCTGACCTCAAGTGATCCGCCTGCCTCAGCCTCCTAAAGTGTTGGGATTACAGGTATGAGCCACCATGCCCAGCCTTAGAATTTCTTCTTAATAAAAGTAAGTATAGCGATTCAGACTATCACATAAATTTAAAAATAATGCATGTTGTAAAGAATTGATTTCTGTGACCCTGATTCTAAAGACTTTTTTTTTTTTTGAGACAGAGTCTCACTCTGTCACCCAGGCTGGAGTGCAGTGGTATGATCTTGGCTCACTGCAACCTCTGCCGCCTGGGTTCAAGCAATTCTTGTGCCTCAGTCTCCCGAGTAGCTGGGACTACATGGGAACGCCACTAAACCCAGCTAATTTTTGTGTTTTTAGTAGAGACAGGGTTTCATCATGCTGGCCAGGTTGGTCTCAAACTCCCAACCACAGGTGATCCACCTGCCTCGGCTTCCCAAAGTGCTGGGATTACAGGCATGAGCCACCAAGCCCAGCTCTGATTTTAAACACTTTTCAGAGTCATTCAATGACAGGAGAAGAGGCTTTCAATGGCAGCTGTACTGTTGGAGAGTAGCTTTGGGTTGGTGAGGGGGTATGGGCCCACACTAGGGAGTCACAAAGCCCACTGGTGGCTTTTCTAACCACCACCACACCTCTAGCAGTTCAGTGGAGAACAAAGTAATAGTGATTTGAAGTAGCAGTTATTTAGTGGATCAGTATAGCTTATCTTCAGGTTTCTGGATTTAAGAGTTTTTAAATAACATTTTTTTGTTTTTTTTGGGGGGGTAGAAATAAATACTTTCTGCCTAGGTACTTATATATGTCACAGAATGATTATTTAGGCAATAATTACAAAAGAAGGACTTGTTATTAAAATAATTATTTTTTTCTTAGTATAAAACAATACATATATTGTAGAAACTTCAGAAAATATAAACTTTAAAAGATGAGATCTAAATATTACCCATAATTCATCAGTTAATCACTGTTAGCATGTTGATGTATGTAAGAGATTTTTTTTAGTTGCAAAATTTATTTCGATAACAAGTTAGTCAAAGGACAACTGTCAGTAGAACTTTGAGTCTGTTAAGTCAATAAGCACAGCACATCTGAATTTTCCTCACTAGAATCCATTGCAGGTAATAGGTTAGAGAGAATGTTCCAGTAATATTTGCCATATTCATAAACATTGATTGGTGCTACAGAGAAAGCAACTCTGCAAAGTATATGAGCGTTTAGCTGACCACAATTTATGATTTATGCTAGATGAATAGTTCACTGAAATGAAATCCTTTATTTGGAATCAATTTTTAATGCTTTCCAATTGCTAAACAATGGCAGAAGTGAGGACTGTAAGCTCTTTAGAGGGCAGGAAAGTCAGTTCATACTTGATTCAACTCCCCTCAAGTCTAGCACAAATTTGTCATTCTATAAATATTTGTTGGTAACAAATGCTGTTTATTCTTTTGTCATCATGGCAATTTCCTTATAACTAAAAATAATTGACTTTAAGGGAAATTGTGGCCAAAATTTTAATGAAATTATTTGTACTGCTGGCTTAACATTTATAATTTTGATTGAATAAATGTTATTAGAACTAATAAAGTGTTAAAAAGCTTATATTGGTGTATTTTTTTGTCTGAATTGTTTTACAGAAACATACCATTTCTTTTGATTCATTGTGTCCTTCAGGGAAAAAAAAAGCAGACTTTAAATTAATCTTGGGAGGCTGAGATGGGAGGACTGCTTGAGGCCAGGAGTTTAAGACTACCTGGGCAACGTAATGAGACCCTGTCTCTACAAAAACATAAAAATACTAGTCAGGTGTGGTGGTATGTTTGGTAATCCCAGTTACTCAGGAGGCTGGAGTGGGAGGAATGCTTCAGCCAGGAGTTTGAGGCTGCCGTAGACATGATATGCCACTGTACTCCAGCCTGGGTAATGGAGTGAGAGCATCTCAAAATAAAAAAAAAGACCAACATGCAATGTCCACCCCTACCCCCAATATTTTAACAAATTCTAGTGATTCTCCTTCAGTGTGGAAAAAACAACTCCAAGCCCAGACCCAGCCACAAATTAATTAACTTGGGTACCAGCATCTTATTTCCAGGTCTTTCATTCTAGACTTTGATTTTGAAGTCATGACTCATAAATAACTATTCCACCCTAGACCCAACCAGGCCAAGGTGTCTAATTTCCTGGCTTTGGCTTAGGAACCGGCCCTTAAGCTGAGCTGGACTAATCAGAGGCTTCCCTGAGATTCTCCTGCCAGAGAGATCAGGAAATGGTTATCTTTCTGCTGGGGTTAGTGCACTCAGCCTGTATCTGGGCTCTGCAGCATTTTCCCCCAAGAGACAGATGGAGCCGTGAGGTTTCTGGACGTGTGCCTAAAGCCAGCTGTAATCTGGCCTCTGTGACCTGAGTCTATGCATTTATCTTTTATCCCCACGTAATACTAGTTTGAGTTGGGTTTCTGTCACTGACTAATAAAACACTCTTAATATTAAAAGTAGAACAAAAAGGACTTATAAAGGAGCTGGAGAAAATAATAAGAGCAGAAATAATGATAAAGATATAATAGAAAGGATCAACAAAGTCAAAAAGTGGTTCTTTAAAAAGTTGATAAACTTCTGGCAAAGACTTATAAAGAAAAAAAAAGCCCAAATAAATCATATCAGAGATGAAAAGAGGGCACAGATATAGCAGAGATTAAAAAGATGTCTACCAATGTGAAAATTTACATGCAAATTCTGCAACACTGTAAATGACCAAAACTGCAGAAGACTAGAAAGTTTAAATAAGGTTTCATTTAATAGTTGGCTAAAACTGTTGAAAAAAATAAATGGTATAAAAGTGTATGAAGTCAGAAGTGGGCTTTGGGAAATGAAATAGTTGGAGAATTTAACTTTACCCCCCCACCTTAGGCAATATGTTTTAATGTATAAACTGTTAAGAAATAAGTGAACAAAATCACACCAAAGGAAATCTGCATGTCTATTTTATTTCCATTAGAAAAATATTATCTATATAACATTTTGGTCCACTTTCTTCTCCTTGACCTCAAATTTAAACACTTTAATTTTACTCAGGAAAAGCAGAATCACATACCTGACATGAGAATTAAATCGTTCACATCATTAATTTGAATTGGATATGTTCTTGATTATTTCTCAGGAATAATAAGTCTTCTTTCCTGCTTGTTATTTCTCTTTTATTTATTGAGTAACTATGTAATGAGTATCTCTTTCCTGTATTCAGGAATACAGGTGCACACAGGTGTAATTTAAAACAGTAACTGGATTCCTTCTCTAATCTTCAGTTCATGTTCAACTCTCCCTATTATATGGTATTTCCATAATAACATCAGATATTTTCATCAAATTCACACTGTCATCAATATTGGGAAAATTAAAATGTTAATTAAGAGGTTATATCAATTGTAAAAATTAAAATGTTAAAAATTCCAGACTACACAGCACTGTGCCTACTTAGAGTGATGCTGTTGTCAGAGGTCCTTGGACAGCTACTGCTTCAATTTCAATTCGGGCACCCTGTGAGGAAAATGAAACAATTTGTTGTAATCATTTTGTACAAATTGCAAGCTCTATAATACCTACCAAAAACATACAACTACAGCAATATAACATTTTTTTTTTTTTTTTTTTGACATAGAGTCTCGCTCTGTTGGCCAGGCTGGAATGCAATGGCATGATTTCAGCTCACTACAACCTCCGCCTCCTGGGTTCAAGGAATTCTCCTGCTTCAGCTTCCAGAGCAGCTGGGACTGTAGGCACCCACCACCATGCCCAGCTAATTTTTGTATTTTTAGTAGAGATGGGGTTTCACCATGTTGGTGAGGATGGTCTCCATTTCTTGACCTCGCGTTCCGCCCGCCCCAGCCTCCCAGAGTGCCGGGATTACAGGAGTGAGCTACCATGCCTGGCAAGATAACATTTTTAACATTAAACTTTTCAAAGAAGGAAAGGAGAAGGAAATACTCACTAAGAACCTATAACGGACCAGGTAACCATGCTAGGCATATCATATATAGTTTTAGCGCCTATGATTCTCACAGCAGCCCTATTAGAGAGATGTTTTCCCCTCAATTCACAGAATGATATGCTGAAGTGCAGAAGGAGTAATTAACTCATCCCAAGTCTTAGGCTAGACAGCAGAGGTTGTGATTCCTTTAACTTGTCTTGTGATTCCAAGTTAGAGCTCTTTCTACTATACCCAGTATCTTAGTAGGTTTGATAATGATCATTCCAAGTAACAGTTAATTAAAGCAATACAAATGACACTCTTAGGAAGTAAATTTTCTTTAGTGGAAACTGCAAGTGGGAGTCAGTAATAGCTGCTTTTTTATATGCAGTAATATTGTGCTGCTGAGCTTCGAGTTAGAGTACCAAAATCAAAGTGGTGAGAAATATGTGTGTCCCTGGTTTACAGATTCTTTTTCTAGTGGAAGGTTTAGATTTTTAATTATACAACAGCCACGTGAAATTTTTACTGCGGAAGTCACAAACAAACCTGGCTCAAATTTATAGTCCTCTAAGTAACATTACAACACAGCTGCTATTCTGATTCTATGTTCATGTGTTGGCTTAAAAAATGTCTTTTTTTTCATGCATGTAATATGGGGTATTTCCTTTCAGACTTTAAGTCTTGGGAAGCAGGGTCTATTTCTTTCTTTCTTTCTTTCTTTTTTTTTGAGACAAGGTCTCACTGTTACCCAGGCTGGAGCACAGTGGCTCGATTATAGCTCATTGCAACCTTCAAGTGTCACTCCCACCTCAGCCTCCCAAGTAGCTGGGAGTTCAGGTGTCCACCACCATGCCTGACTAAATGAAAATTTTTTCTGTAGAGATGGTAGTCTCGCTATGTTGCCCAGGCTGGTCTAGAACTCCTGGTCTCAAGTGATCCTCCTGTGTTTGCCTCTCAAAGCACTGGGATTAAAGGGGTAAGCCACCTGGCCCAGGCTACTTCTTTTAAGTTTCCTTTCACAGTGCTTAGTTTACTTATAGTCAGAAAACACCATAGAAGTGGAAACTGTACATTAGTCATTTAAAGTATACTTACTTTGGGCAAAGCAGCAACTTGGTAAGCAGCTCTAGCAGGAAAATTACTCTTGAAATCTGAATTTAGAAGAATTTCAGTTTTTAATAGAGAAGAGTGAAAAAAATAAAGATCAAGTGAAAAATTTTATTTTAATTTTCAGATATTGTGTTGTCACACTCTACAATTAAGACTCTGGCAAGTGCTTGATATACTAGTCAGTTCTTAGACATAAGCAACATTTTATTTATTTTTTTATTTTTGAGATAGAATCTCACTCTGTCACCCAGGCTGGAATGAAGTGGTGTGATCTCGGATCACTGCAACCTCTGTCTCCCAGGTTTAAGCGATTCTCCTGCCTCAGCTTCCCGAGTAGCTGGGATTACAGGCATGTACCACCACGCCCATCTCATTTTTGTATTTTTAGTAGAGACGGGATTTTGCCATATTGGCCAGATTGGTCTCAAACTCCTGATGTCAAGTCATCTACCCACCTTAGCCTCCCAAAGTGCTGGGATTACAGGTGTGTGTGAGCCACTGAGCCCAGCCTTGAGCAACATTTTAAAAAAGAGGCTCATCAGATTTGTTTGATAAAACATTTTGCCATATGATTCCTGTGATAGTTAATACTTTTCTAAATGTCTTAGCTTTCTGGCAAAGAAAATGAAATACTCTAACATTTTGATCTTGTGTGATGTGAATGGGGTTTTGTTTTTACAGTGATATTTGTAAACTACTTATCTAAATAGGGAACAACTGCCCATCTCCAGCAACTTTGGCAAGTACTTCCTCTGCCAACTTTGGTCTTTTCTAGTCATTTCTTCAGGAGAGAATAAGTAATAATGCATTTTCCATTTTTTTTTTTTTCCTTTTTGAGACAGAGTTTCACTCTTGTTGCCCAGGCTGGAGTGCAATGGTGTGATCTCAGCTCACTGCAACTTCCACCTCCCAGGTTCAAGCGATTCTCCTGCCTCAGCCTTGTAACTGGGATGACAGGCACCCACCGCTATGCACAGCTTATTTTTTGTATTTTTAGTAGAGATGGGATTTCTCCATGTTGGTCAGCCTGGTCTCGAACTCCTGACCTCAGGTGATCCACCTGCCTCAGCTTCCCAAAGTGCTGGGATTACAGGCATGACCACTGCTCCCAGCTGATGCTTTTTCCATGTTATACCTTTGTCTCATCCCACTAAGTGGTAAGAACACTGATTTTCCCCACTATGGCATTAATGTTACTAATAGCTAACATTTGCTCAGTGCTTGTAACACACCAGCTTCTGTTCTAAGTGCTTTACATGTTGTACTGACTTATTTAATCATTCCAACAACCCTCTAAGGTAGGAGTATATTATCTCCATTTTGCATATGAGAAAACCAAGGCGTAGAAATATTAAGTAACTAACTAATGAGTCTGAGAGAGCCAGAATAAAGACGGTGGCTGGACCTTACAGCAATAGTAAATAAAACCTATGCATAAAAGATTTTTAGGAGAGTTTAGAAAGCCTGAGAAGGGCTTAACGAAATTAAGCTTTTGAAAAATGACTATGTAGTGCTTCAGTACATTGTTTGAGGGAATGCAATAGAGATGTCTTAGAACTTTTTCATGGTGGTATAGGACACATTTCCAATCAGATTATTCATTATTTTAGGACAAGATCTATAACCATTTCTTTAGCATCTCCTACCACTCTTAATTCATAACGGACATTCATTAATATGAACAGATTTATTTCTTTTTAAAAATGGAAAACAGGAATAAAACCAAATTACTTACACTGTTTGTAGATTTCATTGACAGTATTGAAGTCATTTATGTCAGCCAGAAGAACAGTTGTTTTCACCACTAGAAGATATAAACATTGTCATTAGGTTTAGTTATTTGGTCTGATCCAAAACATTGCTTAGAAAAAGGGTATTTATGATTCTGAGACTGTCTTGATTAAAATGGGACTGAAATGGGACCAAAGAAGTGAAGTAGAACAGTTGCTATTCAAAACAACTTGAAATAGCAACAAAGGTATGGCACGGCATATTACTGGATGCCATATACTTTTCAAAAAGACCAAAGAACTATCAAACAGTAATGTGAAGTAAGATCAAATTGCTCACCATTAGTGAAGTCACAGCTTGCAGCTTTCAGAATTTCACTCATGTTTCTAAGAGCCTGTGAACCAAGCCAAGAAAGGCCTAAGTCACTGATGTTAGATTTAAAACTTTAATTAAATTCAATTAATCATCTTTGACTAATACGTCCTTAAATAGCTTATGTTGCAGAAAAATCCTCCCTACTTTTGTTAGGAAGCTTACAAGTGAATTGTTTCTTGGCTTTCCTTTCATAGAATGAGTCTTTCTGAAATGCAATGAAAAGGTTGTCTCCTTTTGTGCTTAAAAAGATTGGGTTAGGCCAGGCGAGGTGGCTCACGCCTATAGTCCCAGCACTTTGGGAGACCGAGATGGGTGGATGATGAGGTCAGGAGTTCGAGACCAGCCTGTCCAACATGGTGAAACTCTGTCTCTACTAAAAATACAAAAATTAGCTGAGTGTGGTGGTGGGTGCCTGGAATCCCAGCTACTTGGGAGGCTGAGGCATGAGAATCGCTTGAACCCAGGAGGCGGAAGTTGCAGTGAGCTGACATTGAGCCACTGCACTCCAGCCTGGTGACAGAGCGAGACCCTGTCTCAACAACAACAACAAAAAGATTGGGTTAAAGTCCCTTCTTCAGTGATAAATGTGTTAATTGTTCAACCAATGTCCACAGAAATAATTTCTCGAGTTCTTCACTCAATATTGCTTCAAGGATAAGTATGAGCTAGTAAGCATTAAAACGTTTTCTTTTAAAGCAGTATTTGACTTTAAAGAGTTCTTTTTCCTTTTTCTCAAAAAACAGTAAATAAACTGACGCACTCGCTTCTGGAAGAACATTTATTTTATCTTTATCTGTTTTTAGGTTCATTCTTCCTTCCCATTTTGCTGGTCACAATGTAATATTTGATTATATTCTTGTGTCTTTTAAAATAATCTTCCAAGCCGGGAGCGGTGGCTCAAGCCTGTAATCCCAGCACTTTGGGAGGCCGAGGCGGGTGGATCACGAGGTCGAGAGATCGAGACCATCCTGGTCAACATGGTGAAACCCCGTCTCTACTAAAAGTGCAAAAAATTAGCTGGGCATGGTGGCACGTGCCTGTAATCCCAGCTACTCAGGAGGCTGAGGCAGGAGAATTGCCTGAGCCCAGGAGGCAGAGGTTGCGGTGAGCCGAGATCGCGCCATTGCACTCCAGCCTGGGTCACAAGGGCGAAACTCCGTCTCAAAAAAAAAAAAAAAAAAAAAAAAATCTTCTAAATAGGTAATATTTGGATATGGCAACAAAAAAATTCAAAAGCTATTAAAAAAGCATATACAGTGTAAAGATGTCTCTTCCCTTCTCTCCCTCTCCCCAGTTTCCCTCCTCAGAGGTAACCACTGTTTCTAATTGATTGTATATCCTTCTAGGTATGGTCAATGCTTGTGCTGCACACTTTTAAAAACACAAACAAGCACACATGGTGGTATACTGTGCATGTTGTTCTGCATCTTGGTTTTATTTTACCATGGAACAATTAGACATCTTTCCACATTAATTTAGTTGTATTGACCTAGCATGATTTCTTCAACCAGTTCTTTATGAGTGGCCATTTAGGTTTTTAAAAATCTTTGAGTATTATATGACTCAGTAAATGGATTATAGTTTATTGTTTTATTTTATTTTTTGAGATGGTGTCTTGCTTTGTCGCCCAGGCTGGAGTACAGTGGCGCAATCTCGGCTCACTGCAATCTCCACCTTCCAGGTTTAAGCCATTCTCCTGCCCTCAGCCTCCTGAGTAGCTAGGACTACAGGTACATGCCGCTGCACCCGATTAATTTCTTTCTTTTTTTTTTTTTTTTTTGAGACAGGGGTCTCACTCTGTCGCCCAGGCTGGAGTGCAGTGGTGTGCTCTTGGCTCACTGTACTTCCACCTTCTGAATTCAAATGATTCTCATGCCTTCGCCTCAGCTGGGACTACAGGCATGTGCCACCACACCCAGCTAATCTTTGTATTTTCAGTAGAGACGGGGTTTTGCCATGTTGGCCAGGCTAGTCTCGAACTCCTGACCTCAGGTGATCTGGTCGCCTCGGCCTCCCAAAGTGCTGGGATTATGGGTGTGAGCTACCGTGCCTAGCCTCCCCTGACTAATATTTGTATTTTTAGTAGAGACAGGGTTTTACCATGTTGACCAGACCAGCCTTAAATTCCTGACCTCAAGTGATCTACCAATCTTGGCTTTCCAGAGTGCTGGAATTACAGGTGTGAGCCAACATGCCTGGCCTAAATGATGGTTTAATTGTATTTATTGGGTTAGAATTATATTCCCTATGCTTATTTTAAAAAAAGTTTACTGTTTACATTTTACTTCTGTGGTGGTAGTTGTTTTTTTTTTTTTGAAATGGGGCAGGTAAGTGGCCCCGAAAAGAAATTTCCCAATCCATGTGGAAGTGGCAACATGTCATCTGACGTTAATGGTTGAGGTTAAAGTCACTTTAGTGATAAGGAGGTAGAATCTCTTTTTTGGTTGTTAGATGATTCATGATCCACCAAATTTCCAACTCTTAGATCAAAAACTATGTTAAATCAAGCAGTAAGTAGTTTAAAAAACATTTTTCTGTTAATCTCTATAAAATAAATCAGGCAAGTGGATTCCTAATACTCTTTGACATTAAAAAGGTAGAGAAGAGGGAACCTCAAATGTGAAAAATGACTTACTTGCTTAGCTTCTTCTGCCACCCCTCCTGACACAAGCTGGCCACTTGAAGGGTCCATGCCTATCTGTCCTGAAATGTAAACGGTCCTGTCGACTAACACAGCTTGGCTGAAATAAACAGAAAGCTAGTGTATTTATATAAGTATAAAATGTGAAATTCAATGCTAGAAGACTTTTTTGATAGGACAGAGAAGTACAAATTGTAAAAAAAAAAAAAGAAAAGAAAAAAGATACATTGAACTTTATGAAAATTAAAAACTTTTGTTTATCAAAGATATCTTTAAGAAAATGAAAAGGGGCTGGATGCTGTAATCCTAGATGCTGTAATCCTCGATGCTGCAATCCTTCACCCTGGAAGGGTGAAGCAGGAGGGTCGCTTGGGGCCAGGAGTTTGAGACCAGCCTGGGCAACCACTCTGTCTCCACAAAAATAAAAAATAAAAAAACAGCTGAGTGTGGTGACGCATATCTGTAGTCCCAGCTACTCAGGAGTCTAGGGTGATTGAATTGCTTGACCCCAGGAGTTGGAGGCTGCAGTGAGCCATGACTATACCACTGCGTTCCAGCACTGGGAAACAGAGAGACCCCCCCCCCCAAAAAAAAAATGTGTGGTGGGCAAGTCATAGACTGGGAGAAAAATATTTGCAAAACATATACCTAGTAAAGGACCTGTATCCAGAATATATGAAGAACTGTTGTAATTATGTGAAGACAACCCAATAAAAATGAGTAAATGATACCTCACGAAAGAAAATATACAAAGAGAGTACATTACATTTTCTCAACATGATTAGTCATTAGAGAAATGCAAAGCAAAACCACACACAATAAGACATCACTGATAAAACAAACAGGCAATGATGTGGAGCAACCCTCATACATTGTTGGTAGGAATAAAAAATGGCATAGCTACTTTAGAAAATAGTTTGGCAGTTTCTTCAAAAATTTAAACATATACTTAACATACAACCCAGCAAACTCCTCTTCTTTTAGAGACAGGCTCTTGCTTTGTCACCCAGGCTGGAGTGCAGTGGTAGGATGTTGGCTCACTGGAGCCTTGACCTCCCAGGTCCAAGCGATCCTCCCATCTCAGCCTCCCAAGTAGCTGGGACTGCAGGTGTACACCACCATGCCTGGCTAATTTTTAATTTATTTTTATTTTTTGTAGAGATGAGGTCTTGCTATATTGCCTAGGCTGGTCTCAAACTCCTGGACTCAAGTGATCTTCCTGCTTTGACCTCCCAAAGTGCTGGGATTACAGGCGTGAGTCTCAACCTAGTAATTTCTTTCCTTGGCAACTATCCAAGAGAAATGAAAACATATGTCCAAAGATTTTATGTGAATTTTCAGAATAGCATTATTTATAGCAAAAAAGCAAGACACTTACACACATGCACCCATTGATAGATCCAACAAATGACTATATATTGTCTTATTTCACTTAAATGAAATCTTAGAAACGACAATAGCAGCAGATGATTAATTGCGGTGTCTTGGGCCAGGGGTGACCATAAATGGGTACAAGGGAATCTTTTTTTTTTTTTTGAGACAGAGTGTCGCTCTTGTTACCCAGGCTGGAGTGCAATGGCGTGATCTCGGCTCACTGCAACCTCCGCCTTCTGGGTTCAAGCAATTCTCCTGCCTCAGCCTCCTGAGTAGCTGGGATTACAGGCACGCGCCACCATGCCCAGCTAATTTTTTTTTTGTATTTTTAGTAGAGACGGGGTTTCACCACATTGACCAGGATGGTCTCGATCTCTCAATCTCGTGATCCACCCGCCTCGGCCTCCCAAAGTGTTGGGATTACAGGCTTGAGCCACCGTGCCCGGCCAAGGGAATCTTTTTATTGAGACAGAATCTTGCTCTGTCATCCAGGCTGGAGTGCAGTGGCACAATCTTGGCTCACTGCAACCTCCTCCTCCCGGTTCAAGCGATTATCCTGCCTCAGCCTCCCGAGTAGCTGGACTACAGGAATGCACCACTACGCCCGGCTAATTTTTGTATCTTTTTTCAGTAGAGACGGGATTTCACTATGTTGGCCAGGCTGGTCTTGAACTCCTGACCTCATGATCCTCCCATCTTGGCCTCCCAAAAGGCTGAGATTACAGATGTGAGCCACTGTGCCTGGCCGTGGTACAAGGGAATTTTTTGGGAGTAATGGAAATGTTCTAAAATTTGACTATGACAGTGAATGCATGATTCTATACATTCACCAAAACTCATGGAACACTACACTTAATTAAAATAGGTAACTGTTTTTTTTTTTTTTTTGAGACGGAGTTTCACTCTTGTTACCCAGGCTGGAATGCAATGGCACGATCTCGGCTCACCGCAACCTCCACCTCCTGGGTTCAAGCAATTCCCCTGCCTCAGCCTCCTGAGTAGCTGGGACTACAGGCACGTGCCACCATGCCCAGCTAATTTTTGTATTTTTAGTAGAGACAGGGTTTCACCATGTTGACCAGGATGGTCTCGATCTCTTGACCTTGTGATCCACTCGCCTCGGCCTCCCAAAGTTCTGGGATTACAGGTGTGAGCCACTGCGCCCGGCCTTTTTTTTTTTTTTTTTTTTTTTTTTTTTGAGATGGCATCTCGCTCTGTAGCCCAGGCTGGTGTGCAGTGGAGCAATCTTGGCTCACTGCAACCTCTGCCTCCCAGATCCCTGTTCAAGTAATTCTCCTGCCTCAGCCTCCTGAGTAGCTGGGATTACGGGCACAAGCCACCATGCCCAGTTAATTTTTGTACTTTTAGTAGAGATGGGGTTTTACCATGTTGGTCAGGCTGGTCTTGAATTCCTGACCTTGTGATCCACCCGCCTCGGCCTCCCAAAGTGCTGGGATTACAGGTGTGAGCCACTGTGTCCAGCTGCTTCCTCATTTTTTTTTTTAAACAGCTACCTATATTTCACAATATGGATATACTTTATTTAATTAGTCACCATTGCTTCCAATATTTTGTTATAAATAAAACTACAGTATACACACACACACACACACACACACACACACACACACCCACCCCCATACACTTTCCCTAACTAACTAAGCTTTCCTTTCCTCTAGATCCCAGGGGTGCTCTGGTTGTGTCTTTCTTATACTATGTACAGGATCCTGCCTTGTGTTGTAACTCATCCTCATATTATCCTGTCTCCCAAGATATCTTAGACTCTAAACTCCTTGAGGTAGGGGCAATGTCTTACCACATCTCTATAGCTGTGTAGGGTGTAGGTGATTCCTTGCATACAGTAGGCACACTATAAGTACTTGCTGATGTTTTGCTCTTTAACCACTTAGTAGCATAAATAATTGTGGTTGTCAATGAATCTCTTTTCAGCAGGACCTGTCCACTTATAGCTAAGGAGGTATGTTTAAACTTGGTAACATGAGTCAGAAAATCTAGAAAGTCTTCTCAACTATCTGGCTTTCACACTGGTCCACAAATAGATAACTACTGAGTTTGTTAATTTATAATCTTTTCTCAGGTTAAATAATACCATCAGTGACACTGTTTATATTAACTGTCCTGTGTCCTGTGTAATTAGGACAGCCCTAGGTCCTGTGCAAAGTACCTTCAGCTTTCCCCATATCTGAAACACACTTTAAGACCATATGCATTATTATTTATCAGAAACTTCACGATAGTACAAAGAAACTCTGTTATTTTCAGAATATAAAAAGTAAGCTCTGGAGCTGAGACCATCTGAGCTATATAAGTTATCTCATATAGATGTAAAGAGGTTTGTTTATAAGAATAATTGTCTAGTTGACATATTCTGAAAATAAGAATCCTACTATTCACAGACAAGTGACAGTAGGATTCTTTAATTTAAAGAATTTTAAAATTTAAAAGTGCATTGTTCTACTTCGAAATTAAAGGGTAATCACACTTTCAAAAGCATTCTCACATTATAATCTACGCCACATGGGCTACCACTTCAAAAATTTATAACCATGAGGACAGTGTGCAAAATGAGTAATGCAAAGCAATGCACTGTTGAAATCGTTCAAGGTTCTGTCTGGAAGTATTCCTAAAATGTGCTGAGCTGATTGGCTAATTAGTGACAACACCCCATCGATCCAATGCCAGGGACTGAAAGTTCCACACATTTAAATTCTCCCTGGAGACGACCCAGGATTTTCAAAAAGTGTACTCACTACACACTCCATGCACAGAAACTCTTGTTTCCAAAAGGTTTCTAAAACATGTCCAATTAACTTTATCAGAACATAAGTAGTTAGTTGGAGTCTGTTTTTTTCTTAAACATTAAAATAAGCACCATTTCTAGTCACTTAGTGCACAAGAGGCACAATGTTCTGGAAGTCTCCACACCATGAAGGTGGTTGATGGCTTTTTTCTTGTTATATTGGCACATTATATGATGACTCCCCTCTTTTTTGCTTTCAGCTTTATAAAGACAGTTGACTCCTATCCACCTTCAAGTCAGCCAGGAACATTACTGTTATGCTTTCTTTCTTGAACAAGCCCAGGGAGTATTTCTAAGGAGGTCAAGGAAGGAGTATGCTCTTTAGCAGGTTCCAGGACAAAGTGTCTCTTATAATCACTTTGATTTGGTTGTATCCCTCTTGTTCAGAAGTAAAAGTGTTTTTCTAAATGCTACCACTGTGTGATTGAGGGAAAGACATTAGGGCAGAAGGAGAAAAAAAGATTACAGATTTTTACTTATAATGTCGCGTAACTATTCTCACTGTCTTTACCTCCAAATTTCTATCAGAATTCTCTTCTTAAAAGATCTGATCATGTTCCACCCTGCTTAAAAACATTTAGCCTGGGCAACATGGCAAAACCCCAGCTCTACAAAAAAATACAAAAATTATCCGGGCGTGGTGGCTTGAGCTTGTATTCCCAGCTACTTGGGAAGCTGAGGTGCGAGGATGGCTTGAGCCAGGGAGGCTGAGGCAGCACTGAGCAGTGATCCCAGCTCTCGCTTGGGTGACAGAGCGAGACACTGTCTCAACACACACACACAAACACACACAACCACAACAAAAAACCACATTTGATTGTTCCACATTATATATGAAATAAAGTTTATATTCTTCCATTTAGTATTGGAATCCACTATAACCTGTACCCTACTAAAATCTAATTTGTATTGGTCACTTTTATTTAATTCCCAAAATAATCTTATCAAATGGTATTATTTATGCCCACTTAGAAGACAAAGAAGCAAACTAAGAAAGGTTAAGTCATGCTGCAAGGTCATATAATTAAAAAGAGGCAAAACAAGAATTCAAATCCAAAGCCCAACTCTTAATCAGCCTTTCTCAAAGGAATCAGTCATACACAGTGAAACATAGTAAGAAATTTTCCAATTTTTGTTTTTCCATCTACATAAGAGACAACAAACTAAATGATTAAGACTAGGCTCTAGAACCCATTCCTAAATTCAAATTTTGTTACATCACTTTTTAGTGGTGTAACTTTTGGCAAATTATTTAATTTGCACACATTAGTTTCTTCATCTGAAAAATGGGGACTATAATATAACCATGCACATAAATCACTTAGAACAGTGCCTGGTGCTGGCTGGGTGTGGTGGCTGATACCTGTAATCCCAGCACTTTGGGAGGCCAAGGTGGGTGGATCACCATAGGTCAGGAGTTCAACACCAGCCTCGCCAATGCGGAGAAACCTTGTCTCCATTAAAAATACAAAAATTAGCTGGGCGTGGTGGCACATGCTTGTAATCCCAGCTACTTGGGAGGCTGAGATATGAGAATCGCTAGAATCTGTGAGGTTGTGGGGTGTAGGTTGCAGTGAGCCGAGATTGCGCCACTGCACTCTAGCCTGGGCAACAGAGTGAGACTCAGTCTCAAAAAAACCCAACCAGCCAAACAAACAAAACCTAGTGCTGAGTAAGCAACAGTAAATGTTAGCAATTATGACTCTGCCCCATCTGATTACATTAAGGAGAAAAAACTTATCAATTTTAGAAAACAAATTTAAAAATCACTTAAAATTTTTTAATTAAACATTTTTAAAAATAGAGATGGGGTCTCACTATGTTGCCCCAGCCGGTCTTGAACTCCTGGCCTCAAGCAATCCTCTTCACCTTGGCCTCCCAAAGTGTTGTGATTACAGGTGTGAGCCACATTACCCAGCCAAAGAAACATCACTCTTAACCAGGCATCCCCAAACTATGGCCCGCGGGCTGCATGCAGCCCCCTGAAACCATTTATCTGGCCCCCCGCCGCACTTCAGGAAGGGGAACCTCTTTCACTGGTGGTCAGTGAGAGGAGCACAGTATGTGGCGGCCCTCCAATGGTCTGAGGGACAGTGAACTGGCCCCCTGTGTAAAAGTTTGAGGATGCCTGCTCTTAACAAAGAGAGAGCTGGCCTCAGGTTTTGAGCCAAACACAATATCTAGCTAAAGTTTAATAACACCTTTTTAAAAATTGAGTTTATTATTTACTGTTACTTTCTATTGAATTTTTTATTTATTGTAAAGCTTCCTTTTTAAATTAACTTGTTACACAAAATGAAGTGAGCCATCTCAAAGAAATAGGTTAAGTAAATTACAAGTGATAGATTTGGCAAACAAACAAAAAGAAGTAGCACTTGAATTATGAAAACTTTCTCCCCCAAATCTTTATACCATGCATTCTTCTACCTCCATGCCCTCACTCAAGCCACTCCCTCTACCTGACTTCCACCTCCATGCCCTTCACTCAATGACTTCCTGTTGAAATCCTTAACGAATTAATTTAAAAATCAAACTTTACAACACTACTATAAATGACAAAACCAATTTTCAAAACCAAAGGACTATCTCTCACAAGGAAGCTTCCTAAATCTCCTTTTTCCTCTTCCACCTCAAGTTAAAATGAAGGTGTCTTTTTTCTCCTTTACTCCATACCCCACTAGCCCTCTCACTCCTGCTGCATTTTATTTCCAAGTTTTCTATAATAATTCCTGTTCTGGCCAGGTGCGGTGGCTCACACCTGTAATCCCAGCACTTTGGGAGGCTGAGGCAGGAGGATCACCAGGTCAGGAGATCGAGATCATCCTGGTCAACATGGTGAAACCTCCTCTTAAAAAAAAAAAAAAAAAAAAAAAATTCCTGTTCTGTCACATCTCAGTGCCTTTTCTCACAGCGGTAGGTTTAAAGGAGGGAGCTAGGGCTTGACTTCAAATCAAACTGTCACTTACAGACTCTCTGACCTTGACTCGGAGCTTGAGTTTTCTTTTTGTAAAATGGGAATGGGACTTAAGAGAAGGTGGTTGTCATGGTGTCTGGCATAGAGCATGCACTAAATTAAAATGTCCATTTTTCTTTTTCCCATATATATGAACGTTTTGCACACTGGGTTGTCTTTATACATTTTTGTACTCCTAAGTGCTTGGCATATAGTAAGCATTTAATGTACTTTAGTGAAGAATTAAAAATAAACACAAAAAGTTATCTTAGAAAAAGAAAGTCTCCAATAATGCAAACGATAAGATCCAATAGTTTTAAAGCTGAGACATTTTAAGAAAACGAAGTTTAAAAATAGAATTAACCTTTCCATTTAAAAGCACTTCTGACAAGTAGAAACAAAAACACACAGGGTAGACTTTCTGGCCAGTATACATATATTTAGCTAGAGCATGTTGGCACAAGCTTAGAAAATAATCTTTGCTATGATTTGTATTTATTAGTGGGAAATAAGACTGGGCAATGAATTGACAAACATTACAACGCATTTCCACGTGTTGTAGAAACCAGTGGCTTGGGTAGATGTGCAGGGATTTGCTAAGCATTTCTGTTAAAAGAACTCAGCTCTCTTCTGTGGAGCCCCATCAACAACTACATCTGTTGATGGGGCTCTTTCCAATTGAGAGAGGGTTAGACTAGATATGAAGCTAATGAAAGACGTCGGTCACAAAGGACCGCATATTTTATGATTCAATTTATAGGAAATGTCCACAACAAGCAAATCCCTGAAGATGAAAGTAGATTGTTAGGGGCCAGGCGGGAGAGGAGAATGGGGAGTGAATGCTAATGGGGATGGGATTTATTTTTGGGGTGAGGAAAATGTTCTAAAGAAAGTGGTGATGGCTGCACAACTCTGAGTATGGTCAAAACCATTGAATTGTACACGTTAAAAGGGGTGAATTTTATGGTACGTGAATTATAACTCAATAAAGCTGTTAACAGGAAAACAAAAACGACCCTCTCCCCCAAACAAAACGCAGGGTCTGAAGACTTCTAACCAGGGACAGCTTTCTGGCAGGCTGGGGCTTCGCTGCGTGGCTGCCCCAGCCAGAACGAGTAAAGTTCTTTGGCGCGCAGGCTCGCAGGTACCACCGTGGCTCCCAACTCGCTGTGGGTCTTCGGGTGCGTTGCCCGCTTTCCGGGCTCAGTTTCCTCGCATGTTCACAGGGGCTCCGACTCGGAGTGGCCCCAACCCCAAATCCCCGAACCCGCACGCCCCAGGTCCGTCACTGCTCCCACCAGCCACGTTACCTGTAGGGTCCAACGGCCCCTGGGGCTTTCGCGGTGCTGATCACCCTTCTGATCAAGGACGACATGGCTAAGACTTTCCTCCTGCGGCCCTTTCTTCTTCAGGAGAAGAAGCCCCCGCACTACCCCTTCTCGCTTCTCACTGGACTGACCAACCCTAGTAGCGCCTTTCCCCTAAGGCGCCCGCAGGGACGGGCTCGCGTGGCATTCTGGGAACTGTAGTCTCGGCGCCGCTCCAGGCCACGTGGAGGAAGCGCAGGGTCTGGCGCATGCGTCCTCTAGCACGCTTGCCAGGCGCTTTTCCTTGGTGGGGACTGTCGCGGAGGCTTGTCATTCTGACCCGGGGAGTCGTCAGAGCGTCTGGCAGGTTGGTCGTGAGGGTTTGGTGCCTTCCAGTGCTGCGAATGTCGGGGGGACTGTGTGTGGCGACACCCCGCTTGGCGCCCGCCTCTCCTCATCTTCTCTCCCTCAGACTCCGCTGACCTCTTCTTTCCTTGATGCCTGTGCCCGGGGCCCCTCTTCCTGTCGCATCTCCTTTGGCCCCTGCGCTCGAGCCCCCTACGTCTGTCATTTCCCTTTATTGCCCCGCCTGGCGGAGGCCATCCTGGGAATGGGCTTGTATCCCTCTTCTGCAACCCGAAAGGACTAAAATGGGTCGGTCGGTCATTCAGGGGACCACGCTGAGATGTGGGCGTTAGCCACTTTCCTGCTCCTACAGTGTTCCCTTCTCTAGGGTGCTCCTCGGGCTTTACAAGGTCACTACTGAACCTTGTAAAGGTTCAAAAAAACTATAAAATGAGGATAATACCAGTGACCACAGATATCCCTAGTGATTGGGATATCATTTCAGGAAGTAAGATAGCGATCTGGAATGGCCCAGATCCCTTGTGAGTATTCTGCTGTGTCAGAAGGGATGATACTTGGCTAAATATTTCTTATTCTCTTAGTATTTGCATTATAAATACACTTCATTTCTTCATTTATGCGGGCACTCACAGATATATAATGAGTCCCTATTGTGTGTAAGGCACTCTGCTAGGTGCTAGGAATGCAATAGAAAAAAAAAAAGTAAGACCTCTGCCTTCCCTGCTTCCTAAAGATAATATAAGAAAACTCCTTTATTCCCTCATTTTGTCCTATAAGCTGCCAAGGTTTTATTTATTTTTTCTTTCTTTATTTTTTTTTTTGAGACGGAGTTTCGCTCTTGTTACCCAGGCTGGAGTGCAATGGCGCAATCTCGGCTCACCGCAACCTCCGCCTCCTGGGTTCAGGCAATTCTCCTGCCTCAGCCTCCTGAGTAGCTGGGATTACAGGCACACGCCACCATGCCCAGCTAATTTTTTGTATTTTTTTTTAGTAGAGACAGGGTTTCACCAGGATGACCAGGATGGTCTTGATCTCTCGACCTCGTGATCCACCCGCCTCGGCCTCCCAAAGTGCTGGGATTACAGGCGTGAGCCACCGCGCCCGGCCAGCTGCCAAGGTTTTGACCTGACTCCTTCCAGCTCAGGAACCCTCTGATCTTTTTCACTGGTTGGGGCCTGGAATAGAAAACCTTTCAGTCTGGCCTCCCCTTGCCTATTCAGGTTTCATTGTCATCTACTCTCTCTTCCCACTAGAGTCCTAGAGTCCTCACTCCTATACACACAGTAGATTCCCGAATACTCTTTTTTCCTTATCTGCAAATTCCAGCTAACTGAAATCCTATTTTCTCTTACTTTTCCTACCAATTAACATTTTTTTCTTTTTCTTCTTTCCTTCCTTTCCTTTCCTTTTTCTTTTTTTTTTTTTAATTTATCTTCTTTTTTCTAAGACAGGGTCTTACTCTGTCACCCAGGCTGGAGTTTAGTGGCATGATCTTGGCTCACTGCAACCTTGACCTCCCGGGCTTATGGGATCCTTCAGCCTGAGCATCTCAAGTAGCTGGAATTACAGGCGCGTGCCACCACACCCAGCTAATTTTTGTATTTTCTTTGGAGTTGGGATTTCTTCATGTTGGCCAGCCTGGTCTCTAAATCTTGAGCTCAAGCAATTCTCCCACCTCAGCCTCCCAAAGTGCAGGGATTATAGCTGTAACCATCACACCCGGCCACATTTTTTTTTTTCTTTTCTTTCTCCTGTTTCTTATTGTGTTGTACTGTATAATTTAGTATTTTATTATGTGAGGTCTTGTTTTCTAATTGTTGTGTGTTTCAAGAATAGTGGATTGGAGAGGGAAGGGGTGAGGAAAAAAAAAAAAAAAGAACAGTGGCTAGAGTCAGACTGCCTGGTTTGAATCTCAGCACTATCACAAGCTTAGTAGCCTTGGGCTGGTATAGCATCTCTGTGCTTTAATTTCTTCATTTATAAAATGATGATAATACCAGTGACCACAGAGTTGTGAGAATTAAATGAATAAGTCATGTAGAATAGTGCCTGCCACATCAAGTTCTCAATGCTGCCTAAGATGATGAAATTCTTATTCTGCTTTGGTATTATATACAGCCTCAAACTATTAGGCACATAGTAGGTGCCCAAAAGTTTGTTAAATTTGATTAAACTAAATAATTAAGAGACGCTTTTTATTTACAAAATAATTCATCATTTAGGTTTGTAAATAAGAAGCTACCTTGGAGCATTACAAATGATTCAACTTGTGTAAAATATTTCTTGTGAAACAAGGTACTTTATTCTTTTTTTTTTTTTTTTTTTTTTTTTTTAAGACAGAGTCTCACTCTGTCCCCAGGTGCCAGGCTGGAGTGCAGTGGCGCGATCTAGGCTCACTGCAACCTCCACCTCCTGGGTTCAAGCAATTCTCCTGCCTCAGCCTCCCGAGTAACTTCGACTACAGGCACCCGCCACCACGCCCAGCTAATTTTTGTATTTTTAGTAGAGACGGGGTTTCACCTGTTGGCCAGGATGGTCTCGATCTCTTAACCTCGTGATCCACCTGCCTTTGCCTTCCAAAGTGCTGGGATTACATGCATGAGCCACTGCGCCTGGCCGGTACTTTTATTCTTAAGGCAGATTTTATATTAAGTTGGAATCACCAGCTTTTTAGATCTGGAAGAAAACAGAGATCATCTAGTTAATTCCCAGGTTCTCAAACTGGAGTCCGTTATACCAAAGGGGGTGTCTGGTCAATCAGAGGATACTAAGCTGTATCAGCAAACATAACATATCCATTTTATTTGAAGATTTGGGGAAAATATTTTCATAAAGGTGGCACATATTTAGTGCTTATTAAAGTTTTGACAAAACTGACTTGAAGGTGAAGATAAGAGTTAAGATTCCTTCTGGAAACTTTTTTGTTGTTGTTTTTGAGACAGGGTCTTGCTCTGTCACCCAGGCTGGAGTGCAGTAATGTCATCAAGGCTCACTTACTGCAGCCTTGACCTCCCTGTCTCAAGTGATCGTTCCACTTCAGCCTCCTGGTTAGGTGGGACCACAAATGCATAACCATGCCCAGCTTATTTTTTTATTTTTTGTAGAGATGAGGTCTTACTATGTTGCCCAGGTTGGTTTTGAACTCCTGAGCTCAAGCAATCCTCCTTGGCCTCCCAAAGTACAGGCATTATAGGTGTGAGCCACCACATTGGGCTTCTGGAAACTTTTAAACTAAATTGTACGACTTCATAAAGATGCGTCTTATATTCATTCCCTTCTGCTGATAGAGGACCACCGCTAGTTCGATTTGTTCGTATTTTAGTCTGGACCCAAAGCTCAGGGATGTTCCCAGGGTTATCCTAATCCTCCAGCAGGAGCCTTTTCTTGGCCCATTCTAATCTTGAGCAGAGCTAGAGTTCCTATGGTAGTCTTGTCTAGTCTTGCTGGTGAGTTCTGATTCAAGCAGGTAATAGTAGGTTAGCTAAGTTGTTCTGGAAAATATTCTGAATGGCTTTTAATGCTGCCTGATCTCAGTCATGTGCTTCACTAGCCAACCGGTTCTGCAGAACTCCATTTACTTTCTTCATACTGTTTAATTTGAAAAATGTTTTTGCTTGTAGATATAGTTATCTTCCATTTAGCTGAAATTAGTGGAGGGAGACAGTGAAATGGCATCAATCCCTGTTATTTATTATTTAAGAATAATAGCTACCATAAACTGAGCCTTTAGTTAGCATAAAGCCCCGTGCTAAGTGAGTTGTGTATATGCACTTTCCAAAGCCAAAACTGTATACAGTGTGTATATGTTTGTTTGTTTATTTATTTTGAGACAGAGTCTCACTCTATCACCAGGCTGGCGTGCAGTGAGGTGATTTCGGCTTGCTGCAACCTTCGCCTCTTGAGTTCAAGAGATTCTCGTGCCTCAGCCTCCCGAGAAGCTGGGATTACGGTGCATGCTGTCACAACGGGCTCATTTTTGTATTTTTTAGTAGAGATGGGATTTCACCATGTTGGCCAGGCTGGTCTTGAACTCCTGGCCTCAAGTGATCCACCCACCTTGGCCTCCCATAGTGCTGGGATTATAGGCATAAGCCATCGCACCTGGCCTGTATATAATGTTTATTTAATTATCACAGCAACTTGTAGAGGAAGAGGCTGAGGCTGAAAGAGAGAAAGTCATTTTCCTAAGATTATGTAACTAAAAAGTGTAAAGAAGGAATTTGAACCCGCGTCTTTCAAACTCCATAGTGAAAGCCCTTAACCACTATACGCCAGTCTTAATTTTTTTTTTTTTTTTTTTTTTTTTTGAGACGGAGTTTCGCTCTTGTTACCCAGGCTGGAGTGCAATGGCGCGATCTTGGCTCACCGCAACCTCCGCCTCCTGGGTTCAGGCAATTCTCCTGCCTCAGCCTCATGAGTAGCTGGGATTATAGGCACGCGCCACCATGCCCAGCTAATTTTTTGTATTTTAGTAGAGACGGGGTTTCACCATGTTGACCAGGTTGGTCTCGATCTCTCGACCTTGTGATCCACCCGCCTCGGCCTCCCAAAGTGCTGGGATTACAGGCTTGAGCCACCGCGCCCGGCCTGCCAGTCTTAATTTTGTATGAGGTCTTGCGTTGGAAAAGGAAGTGAGTGAAGGGGGCGGGTAGTTAACTTAGTGGCTCTCAGTGGGAGTGGGCAAATCCTGATGTGGCTGGCATTTTGGACGTTTGTGCAGGTGTTTTGGTTGGAATAATAATTGGGCTAACATTGTTGGCATTTATTGTGCAGGAACAGGGATGTTAGCTAGCCAGCCTGCCATGTACAGAAAAGCCCCACAATAGTCCAG